GAGAAAAACAAAACAGTGGTCCTACAATGGATTCCTGGTCACTGTGGCATTAAAGGCAATGAGATTGCTGACACACTTGCTAAGAAGGGGACAACGATTTTGCAATGCATGGACCGGCCAATGTCTTTCCACACAATGAAGGCCTTAATCAGAAGAGAGTTCAAGACCTTAAGGTGCAACGAACTTAAAGCTCGTACAAAGGAGAAACAGTGGACAATGGCACTCTCCGACATACCCGACTGGCCAAGAATCGAAGTCGTTGCTGAGTTCAGACTACGTACGGGACACGATTGCTTGGCAAAACACCTTCACAGATTGGGAGTATACACCCAACCCACATGCCCATTATGTAACCTACAGTAGGAAATGGAGAAGACCCACCTGATTCGGTGTCCAGCCCTAAAAACAAGGACGGAAAGCCAAAGATACTGGGAAGCAAGAAGACAGCTAATGAATTGCTATTAATTAACTGCTATAAATGTACCCGCCACCCTCTTGGGGGATGCTGAAGTCAAAGATCAAGGGCTAATGATAAATATCATTAAGCCTGCCATTTGAGATAAATAAATAAATATGCAAGAGACAAACAAAGAGAACAAATGTGAGGTGAGTACTGTGAAAATATTCCAATATGGCATCGAGTGAGGTGATGGTAGTTTGAAGTGAGAAGTCAACTGACGGTTTATAGACGGGTAGTTTGAAGTGAGAAGTCAACTGCCAGTTAATATAACGAATATGACATAGAGAAGTCAACTGCCAGTTAATAGATCATGGTAATTGAAGTCAGAAGTCAACTGCCGATTAATAGACTTGGGGTCATGATAGTTTGAAGTGAGAAGTCAACTGACAGTCAATAGACTTTTTTGCCGTATGAATAAACGTTGCCCAGGGTGCACCACGTGGTGGTAAGTCTATCGCACACCCATTCTATCGATTACTTCCACCCATTTCATTCTAAATTGGGAAAAGTAATGAATACACTACGTAAAGCACATTAACTCAAAGGGCTATAGTAGCCTAATCACAGAATCTGTTCAACGGATTTTTGAATGTCTCTTAAAGATCGAGTAGAAAATTCAAATTTCCTCTTAGGAGACACTAGAAACACTCCTAATTCATAAATCCACGTTTGCCAAGCCCCCACTGAATCCGTTGCGTGCAAACAGAACTATCGTCTCGTGTAAATTAAGCCATGTTCAAGGAGAGGCAACTTATAGGAAGGGAGGGGAGGGGGGGGGGGGGGGGGGGGGGGGGGGGGGTAGTTTGTGCCATGATACTGTAGAACTCCGACACCGCCCAAACTCCAGTTTGAGCACAGCTCTCTCTCACGCAGTTATTTTTTTTGCTTTTATTTCCCTTCAAATTAATTCTAAAGGTGGGATTTCAGCCCTCAATGATTTTTCAGTCGCGAATAGGTTCCGAGTATTTTTTTTTAACGAATAGGCCCTATGAACTCTATTGCCGTGGGGAATAGGAGAAAATTAGTTTAAAATACTTCAGGGTTTGAGGTAATTATATGCATGTACCGTTAATAAAATGAGAAAATAGTAGATTGAATTTTGTTTAAAACAAACAAAAACAAACATATAAACCAGAATATTAATTTCAATCTGATATGAATCAATATTCTAAGGTGATAATGACTACTGCTTAGGCTTGGCTATTGCAGCTTCAAGTTTTTGCAAACTTCATCGTGATAAAGAAAGGATATAGAGACTTAAGAAGTGAGAACAAAGCAACACGCCCCCCCCCCCCCTGTGTCATATTAATCATTGGGTGTTTCGATTTTGCCGCTAAAATGAAGCCCTTTTACACAGGATTTCTCATAGGCCACAGTTGGCACAGAGGCAGAGAGAGAGTTAATGAAGGGGTTCTTCTCAATATTTATTACGTCCGAGGAATAAAAATACCGCCAGACGATAACAGTTTTGGTCCGAAATAACAGTCAGACTATCAGGATCTATGGGCACCCAAATACTACTTCCAAGGACTTGGGGACAACCCATAGGAAGTAGTCTTTCCGAGACGGAGTATAAGCACTCCAGTCAGGACCTTCGTCTTTGTGATTTCCATTCAGAAGGCATAACTAGGGGACTACAATTCACGGTGAGGTAGAGCTGATCAAAACATAGGCCACAAGAGAATTGGACAAGTATACTACGGTGGGAGAGAATGAGGCAGGCAAAACAAGGTAAAGCTCGATAAATGTTAAAGAGGGAAAAAATAGGAATAAAGCCATAAACCACTTGATGAACTAAATGACACGGGTAGAATTAATTAAAGTTCAATATGTGACAGAGCGAACTTGGAAATAGTTCGATTGAAAGGAAGGGATCTCGAAGTAACCTACTAGTACAATTATAAGTAGTTAGAATTTGATTCAAGTTTCTGATTATGGCAATAAGAGAGGGTTGAGATGCATCAAACTGACATATTTTTTCTACATCTATTTAATATAGCTTAATGTGTTATCCATTAATATGATTGCGAAATTATGTCAAATCTGTTTTGTGTTGTTGTTTTTTATCTTGTTTTTCACTAGACTAAACAGGAAATTAAACAGAGGCAGCAGCAGCAGTAGAAGTAGCAATTAAAGTGGACAGGTTCGACAGAGGCGAAGATATTAAAAGCGACGTTCTTTGCTTATACCCCGAGTCTATAAAGAGGCTGTCGAAACTCGTTAACGCTGAGGGATTTACTGGGTGCTTTAATTTGTCTCTCTCTCTCTCTCTCCCTCCCTCTATCCCATAATCTTTCCGCTATCTTAAGAGGGAGGGGGTGGGGGGGGGAACGTTTTTTCCCACTTGGATTTACGGATTGATAAATCAAAAGGATGCAGTGAAAAACACAGAATAAGCGTTACAACACCAGGAAGTTTAAATAAAGAATGATTGAGCTCAAAATTTAAGCTGTTTGAGTGACAGTTCACGTACATAGTGTAAGAATAGAGCGAGATTAACTGGCCATATCCACCTTTACGCATGTAAGTAGAAGCTAAGATGTTACTTGGTATAAGAGTTTTGGCAGACCTTTAATGGGGCAGAGATAAAATAAGTAAGACTGAAGCCATGAAATCCGCAAACACAACTCCAGCGATTAATATCGATCAACCACACAATACGTGCATTGTCTTCACGAAAACTATGACTTTTCCTTATAGCTAGAGGACAACAGTGTTGGAAAATAAAAAAGTAAAAACGAGTAAGAGATCCACTGTATCCTAAGGATATCGATCCTAGGTAAATAGATCTGCCGAACATTTAGGCGACAGCTGGTGTGGCAGGATTATTTATCAGAATAGTACTAGCCACAACTTAGAAGTTAGTTAACACTGTCAGCTATGAGAAATTTCTTTGCATCAAGCTTATGACTAAGAAATTGGCAAAGCCAGGCATTTCTTCCATTTTGAGCTGAGAAAACAGCCTACCTCAAAATCCTTCTGAATCTAAGTCTGCTATGTGAACTGAAGAAAATAAAAATACGTTACGGAGAAACTCTTCCATTGTAACTGAACACTGCAAGTCATGACAGCAGAAATAAACATACCAAAAGGCACAGCATAACAAAAGCTCGAAAGGTAATCATCACATTCCGCAGACACCCCCTTCCAATAAGTAAATTACCATTGTCTTCATGTGTGTATATTCGCATACCAGAAGATTGTATGTTCAACAAAACGCCGTTTTTCGAACATACAAGAACTATATGACCAATAACTACACTGGCTGTAAATTATTTGAAATTTGCACAGTGCAAAAAAATGATATCATATATCTCTTATATTCCCAATTTACCTGTAACTGGTAACAAAGAATCTAGCTGAACTTTCAGAAATAGGACGCCCGAAAACACTATAGATATCTTCTATTAATGGTTACCTCCCACAATCCATAAGGAAGTTTCCATCTCAAAACACGATAGGATAGCTCTGTTTACACATGGGAACAAAAAGCGGTGATTTACTTGAGCAATCGGACCCAACATAAGACGTACAGACACCCAATATGTAGAAGGGCGGAGACAGAAATGGAATGGGAGCACGAATTAATTATCTCCATTAAAGTGAAATGCGCGTACACGCACGTATTGGGGTAGGGGAAAGAGAGCAGAAAAGGGAAATTGGGGGAGGAGAAGAGGGGAGAGTTAATGGGAGACGTCTTGGGGGTGTCGTAAAGGGACTCAAAGAGAAAGCATGTGCGCAGTCACGTATAAAGATGACAATGAGGGGAAAAAGGAGGGCGAGGAGGGGAGGGTGTAAGAAAATGGGAAGTTAAAGGGACACAGCTACTGAACCGATACGTACACCATGCATGCAGCTAATTCATTCACACCACCTTGCAGAGTTGGAGAAGAAATGTAAAATGACCTTAAACATTACAAAACGAAAGTAGATCAGTTCTAAAACCCCTTTCTTGGTTGATAAAAGACCGAAACAATGGTGAAAGCAGACGCAATGCTTTGTCTAGACATCAGTCGCAAGCTATTCTTTATTGCCCCAACCATGACAGTTCATCTGATGTAAAGGAGAGGGCAGGTTTTGGGGGGCGTTATGGTAAATTGCTGTGTAATGTAAGAACATCTTATACACTAATTCATATTACTGAATAAATAGCAAGTAGATGCTTCTAAGACTAAGACTGGTGACGACGAGAAAAAAGATTAGAAAAAGAGTTAGTGGGATAGAAATATGATGAAAGTCCTGTGATTAATACATTTTTATCTCAATGTGAGATAAGGGTGATGTTCCAACTTCAATTCCTAATCTTTATTTTAATTTGAATAAAAAGAATGACTGAATAAAGAAATTTTATCGGCAATCATCCCACCTAGATGTAGCCTAAGATGACATGAAAGTATTGTATAATTACAAGAAACGATGGGCCATAATTTCACAAGTTGATAGCACAACTTGAGCCGTGGCTCGACAAAACTAATTCCTGTGTATTGTTATGAGGGAATTGCCGAAAAGAAGGCTGGAATAGTAATGATGGTAGATAAACTCACCCTTTGATTTCCGTGTAGAGCTCCGCATCAAGGAAGTACCAGGGAAGGAGATGAAGGAGAAGAAGCAATAAAGCCTGCCAATAGGAACCACGAAGACACCACAGCTCCACGACGCCCGGAAGTACAGCCCAATATGTGCCCATCAGTGGTATTGCTCCTAGGATTGTAGCAATTACTGAAGAAAAATTAAAAAAATCGATACTAAAAGGGAACAGAACAAAGAGTTTGTAATGTAGTAGCGAAAACACCTAAAATTTGTTTATCAAAATACCATTTCGTAAAAATTCAAATGTGACATTAAAAGTATTTTCACGGGGATCACAAAGGCAAAAATGAACGTCAACAATATGTGTCAGGTCAACTTAAATGTTGCTATGACTGAACAGAGTTCACAGGCATCACCACTCACGCTTTGTAATATCGATAATCGGGAATATGATCTTGTTGTTGTCACATTTTTGCCTAACCAAACAGCCGGCCACTCCCTTATGAGCCAATTTTAAAAAAATATTGTCTTTCTTAATGATCTAGTTGTCGTTTGAGCCATAACTATTTTACCTTTTTCAACAAGAAATATTGCACAGTGCATCAGTGACTGCATACAGTTGTATGGACATTGAAAACCAGAACTTTTTGAATGCAGCCATATAATAACGCGCATCTTATATCGTATAGAGTTGCAGTCGCCATTCCTTTTGAGTTCATTTATTTGTTCCTTTGATTCACGAAAAGATTTCCAACAAAAAAAAACAATTTTTCAAAATTCAAAATAACAGTGTGTACTCATAATTTCGACAAATAGGCTCGTATTAATTTTGGTCACGAATCCGAAGGTGTCCAAAATCAGAAACGTCTGTAGAGCAAAAGCCGACAAAGTGTTTTAATGAGCTGACTATAATTGGGCGCGAACACGAATGTGGAATTGGCGCCAAAGCAAAAGAGACATGCGATGCGACAATAAACTCGAGTAAACAGTAGCGAGGCAATCTGCGTATCATTATTTTAATACGCAATATAACGCAATCGAAAAAGAGCATTAACCAAAAGCTCTTAGTTTTAATCGATGCAAAGATGAGGTGATAGTTACCGCGAGTTGAGAGCTACATGCAAGAATTCGGAAGACCTCAAAGAGCACACCTTAATCAGATCATATACCGGCAATATTGTGAGAATTACAACTACTTAGATGGACCAACTTTGAGACAAGGAAGTTCATTACACTTGAATTATCACTTGTCTCAAAGGGAGTTAATCGTGTGGTCAGGCACAAAGTGTCTGGATGACAAAGAATGGGTTAATTAATTTAAAGGTGCTAAGATCTAATACGACTAACACCAGCGTTGGATTTTCAAATGCACACTTATCATCAAGTGTATGATAAGCTAAGTGGTGAACGGACTAAAGGCCTTCAAATATCCGAAAATCCACCACTTACAACTCAAGAAATCCTTACTTTTCAGGACTAAACTTCTTCCCTAATAAATGCACTATACAAAGTAAATAGACTTCTGGGGCGTTACCAAATTCGATAAGAATTTCAATGAGTATTTAATGTTGGAAATCATAAAGTGTATCTTGAGAAAAAACTCTAATGAAATGTGATATATTAAATTAGTGTTATCTGCTGCACCTCTGCTAAGCACCTTGGCAATTTGAAGACAAAGTGCATTGGGGAATGGTTTGAGCCAATAAACAAATCGAATTAGCCAAGTGACTAATAAGCTTTCAATATCTTGGAACTTAAAGGTGAAATCCAGAATTTTGAACGTGAGAGATAAAAGTCAATTAAAGTTATTGCTGCAGGTGCAAAGAGTCAGTTTTGGCAAGGCAATGAAAGGAATTCGTCGTAATTAAAGCCTGTACCAACAGTCCCTATGCTCCTCATAATTACCGCAACACCCGTGCATTACTTTTAACATCCTCTAAATAGCGCAAAATTAGTAGGATGAGATAGGGCATTAAAGACACAACAGGCAACGATCCCGTCGTAATGAAGGCTGAATGGAAATTAGATTGGCTAAAAACAATAATTAGAATGTCAATGTGGAGGGGGGGAGTCTGTTTATGGAGAGTGATGTGCTAAAAGTGAGCAGGAAATTAATTCTCTGACACGAGTATAAAAGTAGATAAATATGACAATATTACGAGCATTGGGCAATAAAGTAAATGCATATGGATGTCACCAAGAGGCAAGTACAATTTTTATTTAACTACCATATCATATAACACTAGGCGAACTTGAAAAACAATGCGAAACAAAACAGCATCAAGGAACCTGCGAACTGAAATAGCAAAGAGTGTAAAAGTATATTCATACAGCTAAAATGTGCATTGCAATTCGGTTTGATCTAACTATATCGTGTATAAGTGTAAGTTAATGACTAACTTGGACGGCAATTGACTAGAGTATATGCAAAAGAAGACCTTGAAGGGACAGGCTGAACGGAAATCAATAATTACATGAGGGTCTGGCGATTGTAATAGGGCCCGAAAATTGACAATGCGCTTTAGACTTGAATCAACACCCTAAAAGTATTGGTGCATTTTTCTCCAAGTTTTGCCGCATAAATACATCTCCTATGTAGCACGATAAAAGTAACGGACGCAAGTTAACCAAACGATGATATTCTAAACCGGGATGCACGATCGACTTATCTCATAAGGCAAAAAGTCTATAAACAGGCAATTGACTTCAAACTATACCATGACCGGACTCTATGTCATATTCGATCACTTCCACAGTACTCACCTTTGTCTGTCTCTTTTACATTTGTGAATACCTCTTCTATTCCCCCTATCGACTTTTTGTGCCTTTGATGTTCCTCCCCTCCGTGAAGCCCAAAGTCAACGAAAGGGCTAATGATGACTCTCATATAGCCTGTCATTAAAAAGACTTATTCTAAACCTCATTAACTAAATAACCTACTCTAAATAAAGGAACCAGCAAGCAAGATAAACTTTGTTGACTAAGAATTCTTTCGACAATTGTAAAGAGGTTATTCGTAATGCATTTGCTCTTCTAATGCTTGACGTAGCCGGATTCGGGCTTTCTCTAAATTATTCAAACTACAGGCATACTTACAACTTGAAGAGAAGAAGTATGACCATCGAAATCGAAATTTGTAAGATGCAACTGGAATGGGAATGTCGAAGTGCAAAAAGGCCAATCACAAAATCTCACAGACCTGGCTCTTCAAAGCACCTCAAAATTGAAAGTGCTGCATACTTTTGTCAAAGTCTGTCTAATTAGTCTATTTCCTCAAATTTAAATCTAAAAGTCAAACAAAAAAGTGGAAAGACACTCTTAGCGGGGAGCGAACTGCGTTAACAAAAATCGCTAACATAAAATTATTTTACAAGGTTTAGTTTATCAAAAGTATGCCAATATATTATTTAGGCATAGACTATGGGTTTTTGAAAATGAACACCCTATTACTATTTCGATAACAAAATGCTACTAGTCTGATGATTACGGTGTTGAAAAAATAAGAAAGACGAACGCAAAAGCTTCCACTTGAAGGCTTAAGGGTGGTGGCCATTTGGTCTAAGGCGGCCAAGAACCGCTTTAGATCGTACCACATTAAGCCCATATTGAACCAATGGGCTGCAAAGCGGTAACCAAGACAAAGATCAATCAGTCAGCCCATTTACCTATGCGGTATTAAGCAGGCGGAAAATCGGTATTATTTAGAAATATTTTCCACATGAAAGAAAGGAATCAATTTCGACTCTCGCAATGCAACTTTACTTGAAGGGAGAACAACGATATCCAGACTGAAGAGAGTATGAGTGAGAACGGTGTACATTCCATAGAAGATAGTCCTCTTGAGAGTTGTTACCACAACGCTGGCTACAGCAGCTTCCACTGAGGCGTAAAAGAAGAGCACCACGGGTGAAGCCTCACCTCGTTGTGGGGTTAGAGAAACAATAAAGTCGACTGGCAAATATGTCTGTTCACTCGCAGCTAGGAGGTAGAAGAGAGTAGAGAGGAAGATGAGCTATGAAAGAAAAAAAGATATTAAAAAAATAAGACCATTCCAAATAAGGGTACAAAATTTGCAATCAATTAATCTTTAATAAGAGTCCCATAAACGGAAGGAGTAATAAGGAGTTGGGTTTAAGATATCAAATTTCATTTTTCCATTTTGGTGTAATGTATAGTCTATGTCTACTAATCGATTAGTTTTAATTAATAAGGCTTCCTACTGCTAGCATCAATTTGAGTAGATGTCTAGTCGGATTCATGCCCCCAGAAATGAATGAGATTTGATTAAATAAATATCAACTTACAAGTGAGAAAGAGGAGTTGAGAACAACCGAACCACCGGTGAGCAAGAGAGAAGCAGTGCCCGTGAACAGCGAGGAAATGAAGCTGGCATGGGAACTAACAAGTTGCCAAAGTGGATTTACCACGTTCATTATCTCACCGACATTTTCGTGGAAATAGGCAACCAACTAAAAGGTGGAAGCATAAACACACATAATCTGAGAAACATTATACCCAAATCACTAGTACTTAGCTAGTTAAGTATGACATAACAATAGTCCAGCCGAAAGTATACACCCCAAATAGACATATTGATTTTCCACCACTCCTTCAACCAGACCACATTTCAAACTCATCTTAATGCAGTCTGGCAGAAAATAAGAAAACTTTGTCTTTTCTTAAAAATAAGCAATATATAACGGCTTAAATATTTCATAAGCGAGTTAAATAATTCCTTTATACTTCTTGGTGATCTTTAAAGTGGAAGTGCAAGCTTGCGCAAGGTTTGCAGAAAGTTCCGCCAAAATTGTGTGTCCGAGAAAGCAGTGAAAGTAAAAATAACACCGCGAATTCGTCACAGCATGTCGTCTCTACCTTTCCTGAAGTCTATCATGTCTTTCCGGTAGATTAATATTCAAATTCAATTTCACCTAACATCCTGACATGGAGTTGTTGTTTTCCCTCGCATAATAGACAGCCTGTCGTAGTTAAAGGTGCGTTATCGTTGTTTTTGTTGTTGTGAGTTATTTCACTAATGTTTGTGATAAGTGCGATAGCGCTCCACCGAGTCCAAAATGACCTATACCAGACTCACCTAAGAATTTTTAACTATCCTACGTCCCTCCCCCACCCCCCCCACCCCGCTCTTCACTCACTCACCCTCCAATTTCTACTCTATCCGGAACAAGGAGGAAACAGACCTCTCTTAGTAAATGAGAATATTGATTTGACAGAAGAAGCAGTCAGTTGTGAGTAGTTATGATGGCTTATATTGCCCGTGAGCTCTATTATTCACCCCCCCCCTC